TTTCAGGGATCATCACGATGTTTTTGAAGGATTATTCAGAGTAATATATTGTAGGCTGTTGATCATTGGGGAGGTACCAATGTTGGTAGCAGATGACATCTTTTTTTTGGGGGTAGCTCCGAATTAATCCACCAGGGTTTTGACATCTGGGTTGCCTGCACACTGTAATCTGTTTCCTCTGAGTATAGCCTTTTTGAGAAGCACAATGACCAATGATTCATGGGCTGGCATTAGCAGCAGCACTTTGAGACAACGTTCGATGAGATCATCCATCCTAAGAAGGGCTGATGTCCCACGAAAGGACGAAAGGAACGGAGACTTCAAGGCGAAAGATGACGTGTGTTCCATTGGACCCCATCTAAACATATCTAAACATCTCCGGGCTGGTGGATTTGTCCGGCTCAACCACCAAGCAACCTGAGTTCAGGAGCTTTCAAAGTCTGCGCGCCAAGCTTAGATCCCTTGAAGTGATTCCGGGCTCAGAATGGGGAAACATGGCGCAGAAAGATTTAAGAGATACATGTACAATGTTGTGAAATATTGTAATGCGTATTTAAAGAAGGTATATATATATGATTACGTATATATATGATTACGTATATAATATTTATATATGTATTATTTATCCTATCCTAATTCTAGTCCCATCCCTCCTATCGATTCTATTGATCCATCTACATTTGTGCATCTATATATCTGTCCATCTATCTATTCATCTATCCATCTATTCAGCTAGCTAGCTAGCTATCCATTTGCTATCTAGCTATCTATATCCATCTGCTGTCTAGCTATCTATCTAGCTATCTAGCCATGTAGCAAGCTATCTAGCTAGCGATCTAGCCATCTAGCTATCTAATTAGATATCTATCCATCCATCCATCCAGTCATCCATCCATCCATCCATACCGTACCTGTCATAGTCAATATGAGAATGTATATAGGAAAACAGACTCAGTCGTGACCCCATACATTGAAACCAACTCCAGGTCGAGCAACTCTGCAGCGGATTTTATTCAAGAGGCCTGCAGATGACACGTTCGAAAACCCACGGGCCAAAGTATGAAACAAACTATGGCAACTGGGAATATCTAGATATGATATCTAACCATGTATCTATATCCATTCATCTACATTTGTCTACATCTTACCATGGTGGGGAGTTGATGTTATTTTCTCGTACAGTATCTTGGCGGATGCTCATACGTCATACCAGCACTCTCACGGGGATTTTTAGACCCATTACCATCCTGTAAACTAATTCTAGATTTGGAAAACCCACTGTACTAAGTATACTATGGTATTTGATAGTATTTGTAGATTTTCTTCGGAAACCACAGGTTGTCCATCTCTATGTTAAGGTTGACAGGAGGCTATTAATGGATTCCCATGGCCAGGTGACCCAGGTGCCTACCGCAGAGTCGGACTTGGCATCGCAAGAGGTGACACCAGAGGGTAATGTCAACTGATGTCATGGTGATGCCAGCCATTGTGGGTATTTGATGGGATTTGATGGGGGTAACCTAGATACCTATACCGGCCTATACCTATTAAACATAAGTGTATTAAATTAATCTAAATTACCATGTTTAGTAGGTAAATCATCGAGCCAAAAGGTCCATTGTCCAAATCAAACGGTTAAAGTACCGAAGAGTAGTGCCAGCTCTGAAACCCCTCAAACAACAGCTGGGTATTTTTTTGATACAGGGAGGTTTAGCTGGGAAAATCATCGAACCAAATGGAGGATGTTCAATCACACTGGAAGGTAAACATAAACCAGGCATGAGATTTGTTTTCATCCGATCAATGGGCCAGGGTCCATTCTTCCGGAGATAGACCGTGTGCCATTGTGCAGCATTCTCAAAATATATCAAGAGATCAAAGTTTGATATATTCAATATATTCAATATATTCAATATATATTCAATATATTCAATATATTCAATATATTCATAGCATATTATCCTAGATATTGTATGATATTCTTGATATTTGTTGATAGTTCCTCACAAAAAAGGTGGATGTTCCATGTCACTTTTGAGCTGGGGCTAGATGAGTCACGGGACTGGGACGTCACAGGCAGCAGCAGAAAAGATTCAAGCGATTTATCGTGGACGCATGGTGCGAGAACAGCAGGCAGGAGATTTAGATCCCAAAGATGGCTGGGAGAGGTGAAAACTCAGGGCACATTGGTGATGATGGTGATGGTTCAAGACTAAACTTGGTTAAGAGATGTAAAGAGATGTTAAGAGATGTTTAAAGTGGACATAGGTGTGTCTGAAATTTCGAACCATTCCCACTAGATGATTGAAACCAAGACCTGAGATTTGAAGGGCTGTTGTAATGCATAGTCTCAGAACCTTCTTACCACCTCTCAGCCTAGCAACACTCCTGAAAAGAAGGTACCCACTGACAAAAAGTGAGATTGGTGCAGTTGAACTATGTATTGCTTCACAAAGATTACTATAAGTCAAGCTTCCAGGACATGTATGTACTGACCTGTAAGTATCTCTTCATGTTACTTGTTTCACGAGCCATGACTGGTTCATGCATGGCTTCCGGTGAGGCCAGACCCAGAGCTGCGCAGGACGGAACATCCCCATAAATGGAGGCTTCGGGAAAATCGTCTATAATTGGTGTTTCCAGCCATATTACCAGGAGGGTACAGTGTTCTCAGGGATCATCCCGATGTTTTTGAAGGATTATTCAGAGTAATATATGTGTTGATCATTGGGGAGGTACCAATGTTGGTAGCAGATGACATCTTTTTTTGGGGGAGGTAGCTCCGAATTAGGGTTTTGACATTTGGGTTGCCTGCACACTGTAATCCGTGTCCTCTGAGTATAGCCTTTTTGAGAAGCACAATGACCAATGATTCATGGGCTGGCAGCACTTTGAGACAACGTTCGATGAGATCATCCATCCTAAGAAGGGCTGATGTCCCACGAAAGGACGAAAGGAACGGAGACTTCAAGGCGAAAGATGACGTGTGTTCCATTGGACCCCATCTAAACATATCTAAACATCTCCGGGCTGGTGGATTTGTCCGGCTCAACCACCAAGCAACCTGAGTTCAGGAGCTTTCAAAGTCTGCGCGCCAAGCTTAGATCCCTTGAAGTGATTCCGGGCTCAGAATGGAGAAACATGGTGCAGAAAGATTTAAGAGATACATGTACAATGTTGTGAAATATTGTAATGCGTATTTATAGAAGGTATATATAATTATATATATATATGATAAATATATATATATAATTATATATATATATGATTACGTATATAGTATTTATATATGTATTATCTATCCTATCCTAATTCTAGTCCCATCCTCTCCTATCGATTCTATTGATCCATCTACATTTGTGCATCTATATATCTGTCCATCTATCTATGCATCTATCCATCTATTCAGCTAGCTAGCTATCTATCTATTTGCTATCTAGCTATCTAGCTAACTATCTAGCTAGCTATCTAGCTAGCTATCTAGCTACCTATCTAGCCATCTAGCTATCTAATTAGATATCTATCCATCCATCCATCTATCTATATAATACATACATCCAATGTATAGCAACGTATCATACTTTCGTCACAAAAGGACCATCCATATGCATGTACATCTGTACATATCTGTACATCTGGAACGATGAGAATTGGCTTGTTGTAACTACCCTCTGGTAATTTAACGTAGCTATTGAAAATGGCCCAGTCGAAATAGTGGATTTACCCATTGATAGCATGGTGGATCTTTCCATAGTTATGTGACAGATTACCAGAGGGTATCCCAAATTGGCTGAACTAAAGTATCCATATCCTTTCATAAGATCATATTGTTATTCTCAAGGGTGCTTCCCTCCAAAAAGACTGGGTGATGTGGGCGACTTTGTCACACTTGACATCCATGGGCACATAATATTTACCCATATAAAATCATATAATGTATAATATAATATAATATAATATGATATGACATGATATGATATGATATGATATGATATATATATATATTATAATATTATATACTATAATTATATATAAAATATTTTATACTATGATTATATATATATATAATATTATATACTATAATTATTTATATATATATATATTTATTCATACATACCTGTCATAGTTAATATGACAATGCATAAAGGAAAACAAATTCAGTCGTGACACCAGACATTGAAACCAACTCCAGGTCGAGCAACTCTGCAGCGGAAATTTTCCAAGAGGCCACGTTTGAAGACCCACGGGCTAAAGCGTAACTGGGAATATCTAGACATGATACCCTATGGTAAATAAACATAGACCCTGAAAATCACCTATTCCCCACCTGCCAGGTGAGGGTTGTTAGATTTTATCAGAGCTGTTCTTCTCCTCCTCGCTAGCTGTCCTCCACTGCCTCCTCCTCCTCCGCCTTCTCCTCGTCCTCCTCCTCCTCCTTCTCCTCCTCCGCCTCCTCCTCCAGTTTCTCCTCCACCACCTCTGCCTCCACTTCCATGTCCACTTCCTGCCGCCTTGCCAACTCTTTTCCAAGCTCTTTGCCAACTTCCCAGCTCAGTGTGCACCGCTGGACCTCAACCTGCGAGCTGCCCAGCTCAGTGTGCACTGCTGGACCTCAACCTGGGAGCTGCCCAGCTCAGTGTGCACCGCTGGACCTCAACCGGGGAGCTGCCCAGCTCAGTGTGCACCGCTGGACCTCAACCGGGGACCTGCCCAGCTCAGTGTGCACCGCTGGACCTCAACCGGGGACCTGCCCAGCTCAGTGTGCACCGCTGGACCTCAACCGGGGACCTGCCCAGCTCAGTGTGCACCGCTGGACCTCAACCTGGGACCTGCCCAGCTCAGTGTGCACCGCTGGACCTCAACGGCCAGATAGAATGCCAGAAGATATGCCAGATGGAATGTCAGATAGAATGCCAGAAGATATGCCAGATAAAATGCCATGAGATATGCCAGATAGAATGCCAGAAGGTATGCCAGATAGAATGCCAGAAGGTATGCCAGATAAAGTTCCAGAAGGTATGCCAGATAGAATGCCAGATAAAATTTCAGATAGAATGCCAGAAGATATGCCAGATAAAGTGCCAGAATGTTTGCCAGATAGAATGCCAGAAGATTTGCCAGATAATATGCCAGAAGATATGCCAGATAGAATGCCAGAACATATGCCAGAAGATGTGCCAGGTAGAATGCCAGAAGATAGGCCAGATAGAATGCCTGATAGAATGCCAGAAGATATGTCTGATAGAATGCCAGAAGATTTGCCAGTAACAAAATGTATATATGTCATGGTTGGGATCACACGAAGTAACGTAATTTTTAATGGAAACTAGTCGTCTTCCAACCCCTATCTGCCAGGGTCTATGTTAATTTACCAGAGGGTAGAAGTAGCCTTTTCGGGGGGGTGAACATGAGTTAAAATACGTACTTACGATGTGAATGTTCCCCAGTGTACTGGGCTCTTGACCCACAACATAGCCTAGCTAAATACTGTGGAGAATATGTCAATAAATTTAGACCCAACCAAAATTGATGAAAATTGAATACTTGGGAATAACACTGCCTAAACTTTGGGTGGGAACTTCATTCTGTGGAGAATATGTCTAGTCATTTCCAGCTCAATATTTGATCCCTTCCCCATCTTTAGTGAGTGTAGCTATGTGAAATGTTATGTCTACGGAACGAAACAACAAATAAAAAGAAATGAAGAGGGGATCGATGAGCGAATGAGTGAGTGAAGGAATATGCCCTATGCCATAAAAGAATATTCCACGGTATCAACCAGGTTATGGAATATTTTTTGGAATAATTTTTAAGGGGTAGGTATATACGATGCTGCATGTCGGAACTTGAAAATCATGATCCCCTCCGCCAAGATACCCCGGAATAATTAGGTTTTGGAATAATTTTCTATAACTTAAAACATGAAGGAATGATTTAAGACATGCAGACATGATTGAATGAGTAAATCATTGAAATTAGTGGATGAGTGATCCAGGTTAAATTCAGAATTGCTGACCAAAATGAATCAATCATGAGTCCATGACTGGATGATTGAATGGCTCCGAGAAGGAGTGACACCCCTGGAACCAGTCCAGGTACGCTGCAGAGAGATCCCAGCATTTTAAGCGCGCTCCAAACACAAAGACCTGAAAAGACGCTGCAAGCACCACTCCTTTGCTTACCTTGAACTCTTCCAGGAAGTAGCCAGCAGCTAGTGCAGCTAATGAGTTGAATAGCCATGACCTGAGACTGCTTGACTGGACAGCTGATGTCAGCCACCAACGGGGAATCCTTGGTTGGGCGGTTTTATGGTGTATGTTTTGGCCATGATATGTATAATTATGTATACTGTATACATATTATATACCGTGCGTGCATGGAATTATCCGTAGATAGATCGATCGATAGATAGATAAATAGACAGGTAGATAGACAGGTAGATAGGTAGATAGATAGACCCATGAGTGCATAGATACACACGTTTCTATCATATCAGCAAGCATATTAGATCTGCATAATTATACCAATTCCTTTCTTTTTGGCAGGGTCTCGAATATAAGCCATGATAAGCCATGACTCTCACCCTTTGAAACGATCAAACAATAGTGCCAGGCGCTAGTGCAGCAAGCACAGCAGGGCGGCCAACGCGAGACACCCAGATCCCATTGGATTCTGGCGTGAACCACCCGCAATGTCTACAGATGTTGCGTGATATGTTGTTAGCCTAGGATGACTAGGATGTCTAAATGTACATAATATAACATAAATATATATATATATATATGGCTGCAGCTCAAAATGTAAGGTTCTGATCCATACCCCGGGACCACATGCGATCCATACCCCATGATCCATACCCCTTTAGAGGACATGATCCATACCTATGATCCATCCACCTGATCCATACCTCAGTAATTGCAAATCCTGGGCATGTATTGGTTTTGTTTCTGAGTTGTACCTATGGGATTCTTCAGTTTCTGTTTCACGCATTGCGTTTTGAGTGAGGGGTCAGGGCCAGCTATTTGACCTGTACGATTTAATTCGACGTCACGACGTCGCCCCCGAATTAACGAGGCAGAATTTTGAAACCAGGGGATATGTACGTAAAGTATCTAACCCTTTGCCTGTACCCGATCCCGCTTGCTTGCTATTGCTACCAGAGAGGAATTTATGTTTGTGTTGGTATGATGGCTCGCAATCTGCAGTTTAAAGTATACTTGGGGTTGTGAGGGGTTATGAACACCACAATATCCACCAAATCAGCCAAGGGTTATTCACAATTGGTTTCCGTTCCAACAAAAGGATTGAATTAGATTTTGAATCTACCACCAAAACAATGAGCCAGAAATTTTGGAAATTCAGGTCCATTACGTTCCATACCCCGATCCATACCCGTTCCATACCCGAATCATGCCTATAGGACCCATCCCCCATCACCACCATTTGTTGATATTCAAGTGTATTCAACGAGCTCTTCTTCGAGCTCTTCCTCTGACTCAGATAGTGATGATTGAAAACGAAAGCGGGTCCTTACTTGCTCTTCGTGCCTCACGGGTCTGATGAAATCATTATATAGAGATGTGCATATGTATTTCTATTATATATGTTTATATTTATATCTAAATAATAATATATTTATATTCATATCCATGTAAGCCCTTATGACAAGGTCCGGATCAAAACGCTTGCTGACAACTCCTCGTTCCATACGTCCCGATCACCGCGGAACGATCCATACCCGTTTTTTGAGCCATACCCATATGATCCCATGTGTATATATATACACATACATACATACATACGTACGTACGTACGTACGTACGTACATACGTACATACATACATACATACATACGTACATACATACGTACGTACGTACATACGTACATACATACATACATACGTACATACATACGTACGTACGTACATACGTACATACATACATACGTACATACATACGTACGTACGTACATACGTACATACATACATACATACATACATACATACGTACATACATACGTACGTACGTACATACGTACATACATACATACGTACATACATACGTACGTACGTACGTACATACGTACATGCGTACATACATACATACATACATACATACATACATACATACGTACATACGTACGTACGTGCGTACGTACGTACGTACGTACATACGTACATATGTACATGCGGACATACGTACATACGTACATGCGTACATACGTACATGCGTACATACGTACATACATACGTACGTACGTATGTATGTAATGTGTGCTCTTGAAATTACAGTATTATTGTCGCTATGGTATAGGACTACTATCATCAGAATTTCCGTGGTTTAGTTTTAACTCTATGGATGCTTTTGTGGAGAAGTGGGATGGAACTAGTCAAAATGCTTCAGCAATTGGTAGGAATACTTCATGTACGAAAAGTGACCAGCAGGATCCAAGAAAAAGTATAGAAATGTGTGGTTCTTGGTGATCTACATCATGAAACCAATGATTTTGGAGGGATTATACTGTTTATACCATCCATTTCTGGTATTTTCTGGTGCTATTCAGGATGGTGTTGGCTAAAACCCACATTTTTGACTCAACATGAAAGCCCCAGGGCTTCGGCCGGCGTGTCTCCAAGGCCAAAGCTTGCTGCTGCCTGCCTTTTCCCAAGCCATTTTGAAGGTCACCGTAGTCCGCTTTGACCTGGACTGGTGGAACTGATCATCCATAACCCATGACGGATCCGGCTGGTGCTGGTACATTAATGCTAACATGACTGGGGTATATTGATGGGATCCATGGAGCACCATATATAGCAGCACCATGGATCCTATGGGTAATCATCCATCATCTGGTTGGTGGTATTTCAAACATGTTTTTTTTCCATAATAAAAAAGGAATAAGCCTTCCCATTGACGAACTCCATCATTTTTCAAAATGGTTTTTTAACCACCAACCAGATAATCATCCATCATCATCCATCACCATCACCATCCTAGATCAACAGTTTACATCAATTTACCAGACCTATCCATCCGATCATCCATGATCAAAGTAGCAAACTCCAAGGGTCCCCTCGGTCGCCACTTCCAGGTGGCGCCAGCGACCTCCATGTTGCAGGCGAGAAGCTGGGAGTTGCTGGGAGTAGCCATGAAGTTGATTGGATTTACCGGGATGTTAGTGGGCATGTCTCTTCGGATATCTATATTGTAAATATCACCAACTATGCTGAAAAGTTGGATTGTAAATCCATATATATAATATAATATATATATAATATAATTTATATATATACATAATATAATATATATATATAATATAATATATATATATATATATCCGTTAATTAGTAGGCTTAATGTACGCATCATATGGAATTCCTAATAGTAGCGTGATGACCATACCATCCATCTTCGGAAATTACAAACTTACCGTCACGTCATTGGAAACGACGGTCAGTAGGGCTAATTGTCCCAAAATGACCTTGTTTTAGGTTGGCAAATTTATTTAGCATAGTGATATGTGTTGTTTCGGCATCAAAACATGGTTTATCCTCTCTACCATACTCCCAACATAGAGCCAGCCATGAGTTGGGTTGGACTACTTTCCAACCGAGGCTGAGTGATTCTCAAAGTGCTACTTTGGACAATGGGTGTGGATCAAAGTTGCTCCGAAATCCAACATTTTGGTCATTGTTCAGTGTTGACTATTCTTTTTTTGGGGACCTTCCTATTTTCACATATTACTAATTCCCAAGTAGAGACACTGTTGCAATGCTTGGATCGGTACGATCAAAATTAGTGAGTAATTACCAGGGATACAGTACCAAGTCACGAGCTGGGTTGTTGCTCCAAGGTTTGTCGCTTGAAATTGGTTGGTCTTCATGGCGATTCTGCACATCGGGTTTCAACATTAATGGGTCAAATGATGCCAAATCAAGACATTCAAAAGTACAACAAAACGGGCGAGGTGGTTTTTGTGAACTTGCTGCAACTAGCCAAAAAACCAGCATGTTCCAATGTTCCAGCGTTGACATAGCTGCTATGGTTACCAGGCAAAGGCGCTCTTCGATGGCACATGCGAGGGTACTGGACAAGATGGGATCAGCCTGAAGCTCTTTTGCGACATTCTTCAGGCGGGGGTTCGAACCTAGGAACCTACCCCTTGGCTGGAATGAAGATCATGCATAATGTGGTAAAAGCAATGCCATAGTCACCATCCCCAATGGAAGTCTATGAAATTGGGTATACCATGGTATACCCCTACAAATGGGATTATGTTATTTTGACACCAAGTCATGGTGTGTTAATGGGATGGGTTGTGGCATTTGCGCTTACCACATTATATCCGGCCCGGTTGCTTGTCATTTACTAGCTTTATAGATTTTATAGGATATGGACTTCGGGGTGCAACAGCTTTCCACATAGCAAAGGGGTTCAATTCTACCATATGTCATAGAATTGGATGATGGGAAAATTTGCAGGAAACCCCTATATTTGATGGTAAAAACCATGGTTTCCTGTAGATTTTCCCTTAAACCAATCCATTGAATATGGGGACAAAGATCATGTTCAAAAAGGGGCTTATGAATTCTTGGCTTTCCGCGATGTTATCTTTGATTATCTCAGTATTTTAGCTGGCGAAATCTCCACAATAATTGTATCTCTTGGGTCGTGGCATTCCTTTTTTCGGATGACAAAAACCATGCGCGTAAGAATTGAACAAAGTGAATAGCATGTTTCCCTATACTTGGTGGTTCATCCCACTTAAGTAGCTTAGTCTCCAGTAAGTGGATTAACATGGATTGATTAACCCTACTTCTACGGAAATAACCAGGGATATCACCTAGGATTGGTGGGATGAACCACCAAGGCATGGTATCCATCAGCCACTGGAGGCCGTTGAGCTCGGGGTGGATGCTGCATCGCACTTCGCAGATCTGCACGTCGAGGAGCCGCGGAAAATTCTCTCGCGCCGGTGGACGCGGGTTAAACGATGGCTTGTTGCCGGAAATGGAGGACTGACCCTTCAAGTTCTCCCATTCTCCTATTTTTCATGGCCCATAGGATCCATGGTGCTGGTAGATTAATGCTAACATGACTGGGGTTAATCTTGATGGTAAAATATGGGATCCATGGAGCACCATATATAGCAGCACCATGGATCCTATGGGTGGGAAAAAGGAGGTTTTCAACCACTGGATCCACTGGATCTAGCCTAGTTTTGGAATGATTAATCCAGGTCGATGATCGGTGTCGGTGGATACTAAATATACAATACAGAAGGGAGGATCATGGGGGGTGAAGGCGTGCACATTGTCGAAACGCGCATATTTTGCACTGTCTGCTTCAAATCATCCTGTCTGCTGATCGGCTTCCATTCCTGAAGCTTGGATCTATCACAAACTCTCATACAAACAATCCAGATTCTGAAAGAGGCAAAAACTGGTCCAAAACCATGGACAAACCAATAAAAACAAACAGTTTCACCCCATGTCACCTGTCCAGCTTCCCCTCAGACCGTCTCCATGGGTCGAGACTTTCCGCCCTCTTTGTTTTCTCGAGATTTTTGCCACCTTGACCCAAAAATGCACCAAAACCTATGGAAAAAAAAAACAACAAAAAACAAACAGTTTCACCCCATGTCACCTGTCCAGCTTCCCCTCAGACCCTCTCCATAGGTCGAAACTTTTTTTTTGTTTTCTCGAGGTTTTTGCAACTGTGTCAGTCCAAACAATATCAGTTGCTCATTTTTTCTTGTTTTTTGTTTTCCTGTTTCTTGGGTTCCCGGGATAAATTTTCACCCTGACAAACATCCATTGGCACAGCTTTCACCCCTCCACATTTTATATTGATGTCTTCATTGAGTTACTGATTTTGGCTACTGAGCCATCAGAGAAAATGTACAGTAAAAACAGCTCGACTCTATCACCCACCTCTTCAGGCACTCCATTGGTCTGATGTTTTATTGGTATGCCGAGGTTTTGGTTCCTCATGTTTAAAGGTTTGGCTCGTGTTCTTCAAACCTGGAATCACTAAAAGTGATATCTAACATAAAACCATCTACTATTTTTCAAAACTGATTTGTTTAAGCAACACTTTGTTGTACAAAAAAATGTTTGTCTCAAAGTGTTTGCTCCTTCAAAAAGCAAATATTGTATCCCTCACGACAAGATTCCTCTAAAGAAGAATGTTGTTTTCCTTCGGAAGAAGCAGATACTATTTTGTAGAATGCCACATTATTCTTCTTGGCAACTCTTGCATGCCACAGATACAGCATTTCTTGAAGAAATGTTGGTATTCCTTTAAACATACATGTTTATTTTAAATTTAAAAGGTTCAATTTTTGATTGTACAATGTAATATGCTGAAAGATGTTGAAAGAAACAAGATTCTTGTAGTCATGCATTATATCTTCAAAAACTCTAGTCTAAGAAGTACTAGTCTTTCAAACAACATGTATGGTTGACATATACAAAATCCTTCCTTTGTAACAACGCGAATCCTTCCTCCTCCCACTAGTCAGACATCACTCCTACAAAAATGAGCAATATGCCATTCAAGGATACAATACCCCTAGCAGGAAGTGTACAGCCTATAGCTGGAGAATAAAACCATGTTTTGTTCAATACAGCCTACAGCCCATTATCTCCTTTGAAAGGGGGCAGCAATTGTGCAGAGCATGCAATAAATCTTTCAAACATGTGCTTGTATTTTTACATTTTCACAAAGGTACAGTACACAATTCACTGCAGAAAGCAGAGTTGTTTTCAAGATGCATGATCTTCTCAAAAAAAAATATTCAAGATACAGCAATCTTTTCAGGAAGTACATGTCTCAAGTTTCAGTTGCGCTTTCATGTACAAAGTGTATTGATTCCTTGCAAGTGTGCTGTTTTTTTTCAACAAGGCAGCGCTTTTAAGGCAAAATGTAGATGATGCCTGGAAAAGGTCCAGATTCAATCGTAGTTAGACCATCTTTTGAAGAAGTGCATGTTCAATCTTGACATGTTCTTTTTTGAAAAGCACTCATGAACAGCATGAAAGGATGCAGAACACTTTCAGATAATGCAGAATTTGCGGCTGGAAATTGCGCTCATGTATGTTCAATATCAAATACATATTTTTCGAGAAACATAAACTTGTGCGAAAAAATAATAAATTGGTCAAACAGTGTGTGTATGTATATATATTATATATATATATATATTATATATATAATATAAATTATATATTATAATTATATATGTACATATGGTAATATGTACAACAATATAATGCAGAATTCATTGCAGGCATCAAAATCATTGTATATAGACACGTTTTCTTTTCCAAAATGCTAAGCAACAAATAAATCATTCTTCGAAAGAGACAACATCTCTGCAGAAAATGTAGTATTCTGGACAGTCGTGATTTGTGGCTTCATGTGCAAACCATTTCCATATCTCAAAAAAAACTGCAAAATCAATACTTTCACCACTCCACCCCCCACAGTAGTCCGCTCTCATAATATACATCTGTTGTTGTGCAAAACGAAAGTTTGGAGACTGCAAAAGATACACACGGATAAAGATGGATCAGTAAGCCATTCCCATAGCTGGCATCCTGCAGGATCAAAATTGGGCACCCCGAATAGTGAATAGAGTGTCCCCAATGTCCCCGTGTCCCCAGGGCGTCCCAGGACGCGAAAAAAGGGCAGAAATGAAAACAGTCACCAAGCCTTTCTCAACAGCAGATGACCATCCGAAAACACATCCGAAAAGTCACTAGTGATTCGGCCGTCAGGTACCCGGCCTGGTAAACGTTAACAGAAAGCTATTGAAAATGGCCATTTATAGTGAGTTTTACCCCTTAAAAATGGTGATTTTCCATAGTTATGTTAGTTTACCAGTCTGCCAACATGGGTGACTTCACATATCTACCGAGGCATTTTATCCCAAGTTGTTGAAGAAAAGGGGCGTCCGGTGTTTGAGGGTTATGAGCCCAAGTCCCTCTGTTTAGATTTCTTTTTGTTGCGCAATGGTTGTTCGATCTACTTCGGAACCACCCCATGGAAAACTGGTATCTGAATCTGGTAGCATTGGCAATGTGTTCTACTCTGAAGGGAATCAGGCTGAGTATAGGCTGCAAGCTTCGAGACCAAAGGGATTGCCAGAACTTCCCCCTGGTGATGCGGCACCGATCCATGACGGACAAGGTCAACGTGCAGGTGAATGCATTGGCAAGGGTCGTGGTGGGTCTGCATCTTCGAAGCCAGCTGTGTTTGTGACCCCACCAAGCCGAAAATCTGGAATGGATGGTGATGGGGTAGAACATACTGTCAAGCAATCAGAAGGTCAAATGCCAGATGAGTTTGAGGCAACGGTCAAGTCTATGGGAAGGGTCACTGACAATAGGGTGCCTGAAACTGTAGATGAGTTGCAACGTGCTCTGGAAGTAGAAGTGGTCAATCAGTTGAGGGAACAAAATACTTTGTTGATGGCTGAACTGGAAGAGTTGCGGCGTCTGCATCGTAGTAGCCCCAATTCTGGTTTGGACTCAGTTTCTTCCTGGGTTGATGTCCCTAGTGAGGGCGTGCGAGAACGGAAGGGAAGCAGCGGTGGTGGGGAATTTGGTGGATGCAAAACCCCAAGGGCCGGTGTCACTTTTGGGAATGTCAGCAAATTCACCCCGAATGGCACGAAGATCCCGGATGGCACTCCACCACAGGAATTGTCTCCAGAGATTCCCATGCCTCCTCCAATGCCTCCTTTTCCTATGGAAGTTCAAGAAGATACTGCAACGATGTTGGAACGGTATGAAATTTCTCAATTGGATTCGAAAGTTCCTTCAGTTGATCCTCAATGGAAGCCTGCATGCGAGAAATCCCATGAACCTACTCCAGGGGAAGCTAGGGCTTTTTGGCTGGAGAAGGAAGTGGCTTCACTGCGTAGCACACTGGCCAACATGGTACAAGGGAATTCCTTTCATGGTTCTGAGTACTGGAATGGACGGTTTCAACGTAGTGTGGATAGGCCCCAATCCAACCATGGGTCCGGTCATCCTGCCTTGCCTTCGAACGTGGGGCAAGTTGACCCCGATCTGGCTGAGCGCATTAGCCGTGCGTACCCGGGAGATCTTCCACGTGGTGCCAACCTTCACGGAGATCGGGCTAGCACTTTGAGCAATGGGGGTCTTGGTGATGAATGTCGACATGATCGGGCTAGCGCTATGGATGGTGCTCGTCACGGTGTATGTCCTGGGAACTTGCTTGGTGGTTTTGATGTACCCCCTCACGGTCGGGCTTTGCATGATAGCGAAGTATGTCATCAAGGTCGGGCTGTGCATGGTGAAGGTCTTCATCAAGTTCGGGCTCAGCAGGGCGGTCATGTATCTCATCAAGATCGGGTCTTGCATGGAGACGGAGTATATCAACACGATCGGGCTTTGCATGGGCCTGCATCGAATCCACTTGATAAAGTTCCTGGCAATCCTTGGGCCCTTCCTCGGCATGGTTTGGGGGGAGGTGGATCAGGAGATGGATGTCAGGACCGCATCTATGGTCCATGGTCTGGGTCTGAACAAGGTTCAATGAACACCAAAGCTGAACTCCCAGACCTGCCAGCAACATCAAGCCCTTTGCAGTTTGGGGATTGGCTTCACTTGTGCACCCCATCTATGAAGGACATCAGTGGAGTCGCTGGGTGGTGGTGGGAGTCAACGCTTCGAGAAGCCAAGGTGTACTATGAGCAGTGGAAATCTAGCTCTCCTTTGCAGCGCATCCAGATCAGGCCGAGACTTCCAGATGATCTGAATGAGCATCGCTTTCAACGCACTGAGCAGAGAGGGGTGCAGATGCTGCTGAAGGCAATTCCCTTGGCAGAACAACAGGAGTTGGTGACAGATCGAAGCTTGAGCTCAACGGCCATTCTCTACAAGCTGATGGTCCGCTTCCAACCAGGCGGAGCAGGAGA